TTTGCAATAGTCTGCATAAGTCAAAAGGTGCTTCATTCAAGTTTTAATATAAAGGAGTGGTTTTGCAAACCAGGAAAATAAAATTAACATCTATAACTGTAGCTATTACTGGCCAAGTTTTTAAAAGCCATTTTCTAATATTGACAAGTAATAACAATATCACTAGGTCTGTAAGTTAATTTTCAAAATTTCACTTGATGTCCAAGTTAACTGGGTACCATTAGTATACTTAAAGAGCAACCTAATGTGAGCATATTTTAATGTTTGCTGTTTTTTGGTGAGGATACATAATTTATATCCACAGAATATGTTAATATTTTTCAAACCCATTTAATTATGAGAATTATAATAATTTTATGCAAAGAATTACAAAAAATCATGGATCTAGAATAAAACATAAAGAACCATTTTATATGAAGGAAGTATGTCTTCTTTGGTATTTGTAACTTTTCTGCAAGTTCAAAAGTGTGGTTTCGTGGATACCAAGTGTTATGTAGAAAACTAGTGTGAATTATCTCTGCTTGTTCTGTTTTTTGTAAAACTAAGGTAAAAATTAACACAGAAAATTACTTCCTTCTCAGTTTCCATTGACTGTAAAGGTATGTGAGGTTTCCACTAAAACAGTCATCTTGGCACCAACAACTAAGCAAGTAAACAAGCAGAGAAGCCTTTTCCAACAAAAAAATGGCTGAACGTACTAAGTCCCTGATTCCGAAATTTCTCAACTAGCTTTCCAAATCTTTACTCTCTTTTACAGTCCAGGCAAAATATTAGAATTGCATTAGCTTACAATTTTCATTAGATGGCTCTTTAAAAATGCACTAACATTGCAAGTGTATTCTACACAAGTCCCTCACAAAATATCTTCTGTCATTCAGACTAGTCATATATCAGTGGGCACTTGATGAATTTCAGGGGCAGATTGTTTTTGATGGCATCTGTAAACTAGATTGCATGTATATTTCTGTAACCTTCTACACACGCTAATGTGAATACTCTAAATTGAACACACTAAATGTGTCATCATGAATGGCACAATGGCTATCTTTAAGTGGCTATATTATTTAAAGATGGAGTATCAAGATGTCTGTGCCTTACTTTGAAATGACTCAGCAGAGGGGAAACAATGCACATACAAATAGACAAACATATAAGCAGGAAGAGGCATAAGGGAAATAGGGTTTATATTATAGATGATGTGTCTTGAAATACGCGTTATATTATTCTTCCAATTTGTTTTTTAATTGAGGTAAAACTGCCTTACAGTACTCTATGTGACTTAGAAGAATAGGTTCAAAACTGTTATACCCCCCTCCACCACCAAAACACACTTTGCCCTTCACCATAGCCCACTGGGAGCCCCTCTCTTTGTCCCTTACCTCATATCCCCTTGTTTTTGTGTATTTGAAAAAACTTGTTTTAAACTGTTTTAAGATTATACATCATTACATCCTTAAAAGAAGGTAAAATGTTTTAATTTGAAAACATAAAGAGAAACAAGACTTCATTTTCTCTAGAAATTACTTTTCACTATCTATTGGGTATTCCACATTTTCAATTTTCTTCACATTAAGCCATCTGAACTGGCTATGAATAGTTAACACTACTAATTAAACAAACTCAAGAAATATGAATTCAAGAAAATCAGTTTGCTTTCCTTGTACTTTCCTGGATTCACCCCAGTATTCACTGTTACTAGACACTAGCGCCAGTCACCTAGCTTCTTAATAATAAGCAGGGAGCAGGAGTTGTCAAACATAACACTCATTTCAAAGCCTGTGGGCACTTAATATTTCTAAGATATGTTTATTTTTAAATGTAGAATATAAAGCTAACAGGATATGCATATCATAGAAAATCATGAACTGTATGATTTGGGGTGTGTTTTAGTTTGGGGCATTATTGTTTGATTTTTTCTTTAGTGTGAAAATTTAGGGGGGAGTTTTAATTAAGAGTTACAGAAACTGGGCCTTCTCTGGTGACGCAGCGGGTTAAAGCGCAGCACTAAGAATGGAAAGCCACTTCAGCTTGAGTTCGATACCGGCCTGCCACAGAGGTGATCCACATGGTACAGCAGACCTCTCCTGACCCCACTGCTCTCCTCAGTAGTGTACTTCATCAATCTGCCTGTTCTGCTCCCCACTATATCTCTGGTGAATCCTCTCACCGCCCCTGAATCTCTGGACTGTACCCCAGTTCTGTATGCCCAAATAAATATATATATATATATATTAAAAAAAAGAGTTACAGAAACTTCAGGAAACCAGAAGGAGCAGAGACAAACTAAAAGATGATATGAGTTTAAATATTCACATCGTCTCTTCTCAGTCTCCAAAACATCAAAATTGTACATGGAGATCATGCAAAAATCAGTAAAGGCACCTGGGTATACACCACCTCCCTCTAAAATCCCTATATTCACTAGGGGCATCTGCTTATTTAAAAAAAAGATACTTGTGGTATCTTTAGTTAGATAATAATGACTAAATTTTCTAGGCACATTAATTTTTATTGAGGTAAGAAGCCATATTTTAACTTCAATAAAATACTATCAGGAAATGAGAAAAATGAATGTCGTTTCCACCAAAATGTCACACCTTCATAAGATGAAAAAGCTTACTTAAAATTCTCTCTACCTTCACAATATGAAGATCCCTTCAAAATGTATTCTATTAAAATCTCTAAAATTTGGAAAACATCTGGCCTATGAAATTATGGAGGGGAGAGGTTTGTGGTTTGAAGTATATTGTTTGAGGTAATGTATATGGAAAGAATTCACTTATCATTCTCAGGCTTCATAGAGAACTAACCCTGAAAACAAATGTATGTGGTAGTTCACTGCTACCATAGAGAATCAATAGCCATCTATTTAATTTGCTAAGACAATGTAAATTAGTAACTTCCAGCCAAATGTGTGATATACATATCAAACAAACCTGCAACCTGTTCATTATCAAAATCCTGTCAACACACACACTGAGTCACTTAATGACATTTCATATAAGACAGTTTTCACATTTGCAGCTATAAAAAATTGTCCTAATTATTTTTATCCAAAGAATTGGAGTGAAGACTCATAAAAGGGTAGTCAATTTCAGCTTTTCATCATGTGTGCTTCTGCATGTTTATTTCAATTTCCATTCAGAGACATAAAACATTGACAAAAGTGTGAACCATGTTGATTTTCCTTTAGTAAATCATTTATCCTCATTACATCTTTTTAAGTTGATATAGAGTTCATACTCTAATCCTACAACTCTGAAGAGGTATGTAACATGGAGACTGATAGTCAACAGAAGAAAGCAAGTGCACTTATTCAGTGCAAAGCGAAACAGAATATTTCCAAATGACGACAAACATAAATTAAGTTTACCCTTTGGGAGGTCTTACTTGCATTCTGATTATTTATATGGGTCTGTGTGACTATATACCCTGCTGTTTGATAAAGAAAAAAAAAAAAGAAATGATTTCTAGCCACAGGCACCCACCAGAGATCAGAGTGTACATCTAATTCTCAGGATATCTCAGACATACAAAGCACCTTCTTAAAGATTGTCCATTTTCTTTTCATGGAAAGCAGACATCATTTTTTCACTCTTTAATACTTCTGCTTCGCAGAGTGGCTTATTTTAAGAATTATGCTTTGCCATCTTTCCTAATGTTTATTTTAGTAATATGAAAAATTATATCCATAAAAATGGTTTTGATTCATGATATCCAAAATTTGATATGCAACATTTCTACTGTGCATTAAAATCCACAGCTTTCTTACTGTTACCAAAAAATTAACAGTATTTATTTTAACATTGTTAAATTAGAAAAAGAAAACTTAATCACCAGCTATTCTTTAATACTCAATCCTCAGCTAAGCCATACTGTCAAAGTCTGCCGCATTAAATTTTCTTATCAAACAGGGCATAAAGTAAATAGTCTTATTAGCAAACATATTTCCAACTACTACATTTTTAATTTAGTAATTTAACAGGACGTGAAATGAATTTAGTCCCCATCACCTATAGTATAATCTGATTGCAACTAGCACCCATTAACCAACTACCTAATATCAAAATAGAATTTCTACTAAATGCTTCGTGTGCCAGGGCTTCCAAAGTACCTAACCCCCGAGGTCCCCTAAAATCACAAGCATTTCAACCTCTGCTAAAAATAAGTCCACTGCCACACAAAAGGGTTCTTCATAAAGGCTTCAACCTTTAGCAACTCGATTTGCCCAAACAGTATACAGAACGTGCTTTCTCCATCAGCCTCACACCAGGCCACGTGATCAGTCCGTAGGGCCACACAGGCAACCAGAAAGAATTATTATTTCTAGAAAGAACAAGGCTCACTCGCGGTCTCCCAGCCCACTCCGCCCGCAGGTGACACCGCGAAGCCGCTCCTCACCCCGGGGCGCGGTCATACACCGCGCGGGGTCTGGGCTTTAGCTCCGGTCATTTTGCTTTCTGGAAGTTAAAGTCAGACCCTCCTGGTCACTTAACCCCCACTCCCACCCCACCCCCGCCTTGTGGTTCAGGGAAAGAATCACTCTCAGAACTCTTAACTTTGATTGGAGACTCTGGTTAAAATTAAGAACTTCAAACCCAGATCTGAAAAAGTGAAACAGATGTCCTGTTTGTTAACCATAAATGGCTCCGTACGTCGGACCCTTTCCTCTCTCTTTTTTTTTCTTTCTGGCGCATTAAGTTTTATTTAATGCAGAGTTCGCTTAAAAGGTTAAAAGAGAGAAAATAGAAAGCAAATATGGACTGTAGATGGAAAAACTCCTAAATCTTTTTCTAGAATATAACGAAGGAAGCCTCTTCGTAAAGATGAAAGTGCTCGAGCTGCCGGCTCCCAGTGCAGCCAGCACTGGGGGAAGGGGGAGCCAACCCGCGTCCCCAATGGACCCCAGACGCTCCTAACTCGGCCGTGCCCATCACCTGCAGCCCCGTAAACAGCGGTGTCGCCAGGCGTGGGCGACAGGGTCCCAGCCTTGCACTCACGTGAGGACATAGTTGACGCTGACGATACAGTGTGGCCTGGAGGAGCGGCTGTTGTGCACGATGGTCGCATAGCTCTGCACCCACACCCAGCCTCCGTGCTTCGCCAGGAACCTGTAGTACTTGGTGGTCACCTGCCCCTTTACCAGCACTGATGGAGAGACAGAAAGCAGCTAGAGGGGAACGAGTCTGCTCCGGATCCGCCCCAAATACAACCCCTGGGGATGGGAATGCGGGTCCCCCGCGGGCCATAATTGCTGCGCGGAGGCTGGAGGGGGAGCGGCCCTGCCCATTCCCAAACGAATTGATTGTTCTGTTAATTTGCATTGAGTCCTTACTTCCCTCCATTAGCGAGGAGGGGAGGAGACGCGGCAAGTTGGGGTGGTCCCTTTTCCATTCCTCTTTCTCGAAATAGGGAAGGTAGGGTTTGGGCAGCTGAATACCAAAGCTAGTGTTCCCTGCCTGGGGAGAAAAAGCTCAAAGCAAAGCTCTATCGAAAGCCCGCGAAAGTCAAGGGACAGAACCGAATGGGGCTGACTTGGTTTTTGTTCCCATCTTCAGCGAGGTTTGGATGGAGCGAAAAATATCAATGGGAGAATAAGACCTCTCCCGGGGGTACTTTGCCCAGAAATTCCACCTCCACTCGTGTGAGCGTCTGTGAATGTTAGGGAAACAAGGTGTGCCCAGAGTTTAAGCAGCCAGCAGCAGCCGCAACCGCAGCAGCAGCGAGCAGGATCTCACATCCAGTCACCACTTCTCCACAGCGGCTCCCGCAGGTCTTACGCTTCACTCAAACCACACCCTGCGCTTCCTCCCCACCCGACACCTGTCGCCCTGCAGAGTCTTACGCAGGTGGTGGGCGCAGCGCAGATGGAAGGTGTCGCAGCCGTGCACGTGGTGGTACAAGGTCTTCTCGATCAGGTCCTGAGGTTCATACCCCGTCAGCTCCGCCACTCTGCAGAGAGCAACCCCCACGGGATGAGCATAAGGATCGCCCTCTTCCAGACAACCATCTCAGACCCCGGTTCCCACCGTGACTTTCGCAGGGTCCTAGCAGTTTCCTTATCTGCAAAACGGGCCCAAGAGGTTGGCTAGGAGCTCTCAATCAGACTGAGTCAGACTGCCCTCCCCTACAGGCAGTACTGTCTTGCCCTAGCCACCCACCTGGAGTCCAGGAAGATGAGCTTCATGTCCAGGCTGGCCCTGAACATGAACATGTTGCTGTGCAGTTTGATCTCCGTGACTGCGCTGGGAGGCAGTGAATGGCCCACTGCCACCAGGCCCACATTCTGGTAGCAGCCATCGAAGGGGGACATGTCCAGACTGTACTGGCGGATCTTTAGGTAACCGCTGCAGTGAATGACCTGTGGAGGCAGGGCAAAAAGTGAGACTCAGTGGTAGAAAACATACAAAGGATGGGAAGGGGATTGAAACATTTGGAAACTCTTGCAGAAACACCATGTGCTCAGGCTCCTGCACCCAGTTGTCTAAAGTTATCTGAACTCCAAAGGAGGTTTCTCAAGGCTGTGTCTGTACTGCTACCCTGGGCTCAGAGGGGTGGGAGGGGGCTGCAAACACTTCAGAGATTTAGGTCCTACCAACCCTATAATATCCAAATTGCATAGGGCCCTGGATCTGCCATCCAATCAAGTTTAATCTCAAACAAGAAAAGTATCCCAGCTAAAACTCAGGTTCTTAAAGGGGGGGGAGAGAAGGAAAGAACCTACACAATGTCAGAATCTGAATTTATAACTACTTGATGAATCCATTCAAAATACTGATCATTTCAGATGCTTAACAGTTTACTAAGACCCAGCTATGCACTCAGGTGGGTCGGGCAGTATCCAGAAGCAAAACCGGTCTTTTAATGAGTTCCAGGTGTTGAGGGGACTCTGGTTCCTCCAAGTCCAAGGAGCTTTGACAGAGGCCGTCTGAGCCACAGGGAAAACCCTCTCACACCTCTAACGCCTGGTGCCCTGTCTCCTCCTCATAAACGCTAAGTGGCTGCTGGTACCAGAAGCATCAATGTCTAGTCAACCACTCACTCACCTTGTAGCCACCGCAGGTGAGACCCGCGTTCCTCTTGGCTAACACACACTTCATTCTCAGGAAGAAGGAACGCTCAATCTCGTACTCTGGGAGAGAGGAGCAGAAGGAGGCATAGGACATGAGGATAACTGGGGAAAAGCCACAGGCAGATGCTAAGTGCACCCCAGAATCGCAGCCCACTGCCTTACCCTGGACAAAGTGAGAGTGGTAGGGCTGGTGGGCTGTGAGGACTGCGGTCATCTCGTCATGGTCAGCGGGGTGGATGTATTCATAAATGCTGTTCCCGGTCAGTTCTACCTGTAAAGAGGAGGGTATGGCCATCTCTGCCGAAGTGGTGGGCAGCTCTGTGGAGAGGCTGCAGGATTGGATAGGGGGGATCTACAGGACTGTGAAGTCAGGAATCAGACTCTAGCACCCAACGAGAGTTCTGATTCCAGTTTGCTGCCTGCTAATTCTTTCAGCTTGTCTAAGCCTCAGTTTCTTTACCTATGAAAGGAAGTAGCAGTAGTAGCAGCAGCAGAAACAGCTCCTGGCCATGTTCTGGTGATGACACGGTGACAGCTATATAACCTTCTATCATGGTGCTTGACTAAGTTAGAGATTCAAAATGGTAGCCACTGTTTGGATCTGGGGGAAAAGCTGAAGGATAGGGGGAAATAGAAGACAGATCCTGACCTCCTACCAGCTGAGATATTTCCAATTCCAAAAATGCACATATAAAAGCTTTGAGGAAACTCTACCTTACCTCTACCTCTACCTCCTGCCTCTGGTTCTAGCTATCAACTTTGAAGGCTGGAGGTATGGGCCACTCACCTACCTGAGAAAGACCCAGGTGGACTGAAGCTGTCTCAGAGATGTACATGATCTTCCCATCTGGGGCCACCACGAAAATGAAACCATCCAGGGTCTGGGGAAATAGAAACAAAGTTGGAGAGTCCACTAGGTCAATGGAAAAATTGGGTGGTTGGGGAGGTGGGAGAAGAGAAATTAGGATATTCAATCTTGAACATCAAAGCAATGTGGTAGAGACAGGCTAGAAGAAAATCAGACATAGAAACCAGACACAAGAGCCCTATCTTCTATTCATTACAAATTCATAAGCATATAGGATATGGACTGAGAGATATCCAGAACAAGTATGAATGAGGCTACTGCCCTTTAAACATAAGATCCATTGAACTGCATAAAGCAAATACATGTATAATCCACGCACACGACAGACATACATCTACCAGGGGAGCCTGTGACTGAGATAGGTTAGTTTCCTGGGATGATGGTCAAAGAAAGGTAACTTTCTACATCAGTCTCGGAGGAATCCATAGTGGTAATGTCCAATAATGGAAAGAATATTGGCCAGTTTTAAAAAATAATGGAAGGATGATGTAGAAAGACTGGCACTCTGAGTAGTTCATCCTCTGATGGGAACTGGCCAGTGGATCTGTGAAGTCCAGGAGAGGGAGATTTAGGAGATGAGAGGCTTTCCAGGCAGCAAGTCTACAGAGCAGTGCTATCATGTATATGTGTGTTTACACTGATGCTTTAAACTGACAGACCCTCCATAAGGGAAAGTCATAGGCGTTCTCTGTTCCTTTATTTCTGTGAATGAGGCTCAGTCCAGACTGTGGAGACAGAAAGCCCTCAAGTTGCTGGAAGTCTATCAGGGGCATTGGCCTGAAGACAGACATGACTGACTACACAGCTGACCAGATTGTGTTGTGGGGGCATGAAGACTACGGAGCCAAAGGTTTGAGGGGGAATCAGAGAGGCCTTAGAGTAGCAACTTGAAGAAACAGTTTGAACTGGAGAGAAGAAGGTATTCTAGGCAGAAGGAATGATGTGATAAAGGTAGGGACTGAGAGGAGGGATTTTCTGGGTGTTTTCAGGTGTGATGAGATTGGTAGTCCAGAAATGGATGTGAGGAAGTATTCTGGTGCAGATTTTCTGGAGCATTTGAGATGTCAACCTGAGGAACTTGGAGTTGTTTCTATAGGCATCAGGGTTCCAACAGAAGCTACTAAGCAGGAAATGGCATGCTTAGATGTGCTTTTTTTTTTTTTCTGGCAGAATGTGAACAGTGACCTATGGGAGGAGAGAGTGGGGGAAGAAAAGATCAGAGATGATCAAATATCGGTTTATGTGATCACAAAGGGGATTGGGAGGAGGTAAGTTTAATTCAAAGATGGTTCTGGCTATAGAATTTAACTTAGGGTGGTAGAAAGGAAAATTGAGACTGATTTTGAGGTTTAAAAATTAGGAAAGCATAATGAGTTTTTTTTTTTTTTAGTGGAAGTCTGGAAAAGGGAAATGAATTCTTGTATTAGAGATATTAAACTGGAGGGACATGTAGATTTCCATCTGCATGTGACCAGTTGGCAATAGGAAATAATAATCTGACTGGAAAAAATAGCTGGAGTACTGTAAATGTGGGGGAGGGGTTGAAGCAGAGGTTTTGCCATTGGATGTGATCACCTGAGATCATTTGGATGTTTTCAAGCTGTGAGAGGAGAAACAGAACCTTGGGGGAAATGCCAGCATTTACATCTAGCTAGAAGGAAAACTAGAGGAACAAGCCAAGAGAGAGGAAAATTTAGAGAATTGTGTTACTTTAGAAACCAAGAGAGGAAAGGATGTCAATATGTAATGCCACCTCCATCAGGTTTTTTCCCAAATATCAACTGATGGAGTTTCTTTGTGCAGGTGCCCATTTGAAATGTTACCAATGAAACACAGCCCTCCTCCTTCCCCTTCTTCTTCTTTTTTTTTTCCTGTAGCATCCATTCTACCTTTTAATCTATGAAGTGCACCCATGTTAATTTGTGACATTGAACTGCTTAGAATGTAAACTCCATGAGGGCAGGGCTTTCTATCTAGCACACATTTGGCCCTACCATAATTGTGGAATGAATAAAGCCAGGTAGAGTAAGATGAATATCTATGCTGAGTAGTGGAGCTTGTGTGGAGCAAGTACAATGATAAGAAAAATGGCAGGCTGTGGAGTGTGAGAGTATCAGGACAAGGTGATTGATGGAAACTGAAAGTATAAATAAATGCTTTGAGAAGTTTGGGGTAAAGAAGAAAAAAATTGGGCAAGAGCTAGAAGGGACAAGGGATTATTTGGGGTTGTTTATGTATATGAGAGAAATTAGCTAGGAAGATGGAAAAAAAGGCGTTGGGGGATAGAGATCAGTTGTTGAAAGATAACTGAGAAAGATACAGCATCTTTCTAATAAATTTGAGTGTTGTGGAGGCCAGCCCTGTGAGGAAATGTGCCAGCAAGGCCTTTCATTGCTCTATGAAAATGAAATCTCTTATTAGAATGAAGTCCAGGACAAGGTAGTAGTGGGCCTGGAAAGACCAACTCAGTTCTGCAAGGGATGCTGTTCTTCCTGGCCAAGAAGGGAGAAGTGGCCCAGAGTCCCCCGCTGCTGCTGATGGTTTGAGGCTCCTGTATGAACAGCTGAGGTAGACTTTAAAGATTTGCTAGTCACTTAAGCAGGCAATGGGCAATTTAAAATGGCACAACTGCAAACAACAAGGCAGTGTGTACCTCGTGTGCTTAAACTCATCTGGGGAGGTGTAAATGTGTACCCCAGAGTATGTACATGGCCTGGCCTGGGCTGAGCAAGGGTGGAGAGAGGAGAAACCCAGGAACTACAGGAAGGAGATGAAAGGAGTTGCAGATGCAGATGCAGCTGGAAGGTATGGGTTTAAAGCACTGGCAGGCATTTCTACCAGATTCCCGTGATTTCCTGTGTAAATCCCTCATTTCGACAGTTTGCAGCCGGTTTGGGCAGCTTGGCTGGGAGAGCTCTGGTTCCCTGGGCCTGTTGATGTCAAATGGCTCGTTCTCCCAGGTTCCTCAGCCTTCTGAATTGGGGAGTTTTCAACCCAATAAGTAAATGTTCACCTTGCCCCTTTCTCTGCTTCCAGTGGTGCAATCAGGCACCGACTGAGGTTAAAAGCTACACGTGTAAAGTTTGGAAAGGCTCGGAGAGAACCACATTCGGACCTGATTCTATTTTTCTGGGAATCCAGAAGTCCTGCGCGGAAGCCAGACACCCAGACACTGGGAGCGCGTTGCGCGATGACGCCGCGCACGTACCTGGAGCAGATGCGAGCCCAATTCTCTACCAACGTTGTCCAGCGGACTGGTCCGACTAGAGTGGCCCCACGCCTCGCCCAGCCCTGTGAAGACACGGAGCGACCCTTTAGTGATGGGCCCTCGCCCAGTAAGCAATATGCTAGTAGTCTCCAGGTTATGTCGCACTGAAAGGGCACATAGGGCCGGATAACATCTCTGCTCGCCACCCACCCACACCAGGAAGCCTGGGAGCCGGTTAATTCCAGCCCAGACTCTCAGCTTCTGCGGAGGTTAGACTCCCTGCAGGAAAGTCCCTGGTCAGACTTTCTTGAGGTCTTGGCTGCCCCTGGCAGGACTTGAAGTGGCCGGGTTTGGCAGTAGCTTCTGATCTGAAGAGGAACCTCGACACCACACTCCAGGGATGACTTTTATGAAGGTTCATCAGTGTGCTGGGGGAGTGGGGGTAGGTAAGAGTGGGTGAAAATCCAAAGTTTTCACCATAAGAGGCCGTGGATTTCCAGCCGTCCAAGAAACAGCAGACGACCTGGAGTGGCCTGAGGCGGTGGGTCGGACCTGTGGGTCCCTGGTGTGCTTTCTGATTGGCTCGCGAGTCTCCAGACATTTTCCTCTCTTCCGCCTCAGACTTTAATCTCTTTCAGAAAAATCTGTTTGCAACAGCCCTTTGCAATTCTTCTACTTCTGTCATTCCTCCCACCCCCACCAACCTTACGCATCCTCAATTCACGCCTCCCCTAACTCACACAAGCTTTTTTAAAAAATCAGTTACTTTCAAGTGTTATTGCTGTCTTAACTAGTTTTGTTCGCTTCTACTTTCCAGGTATCCTGTATCAGCAAATACAACCCCTTTCTTTCGTTGATGTCATCTCTGTAAGATCTTTCTAGACTTTGCCAAAAGTCATTTCTACGGTGATTCTAAAGCAAAACAAAACCTCTCATGATATCGCTGGCTGATTGCTAAAATTTAATATGGATTCTGCTTTAGTACCTGTTTGTAGAAAGAAAATGAAAAATAAAGCAGAAAAAAATCTTGCCTAGGTCACGGTTAAACTTATTTGTGTGTAATATATTTTAACAGTAATGCTACTGAAATTATTTTTAACTTAGTACTTACACACTTGTATGTTTACACCACTAAACAAGGTTTAACATCCCCCCAAAAGGTGATTTACTGATTGCTTCGTCATGGAGCAAATCACTTTAAGTATACAATGACAAACACACTCTCATTGTGATATGAGCATGGGGGCGGATCTTTCCGAATAAAACATGGAGTTGGACTCTTAAAATGGGATGGCCAGGAACTGCTTCCTAAGCAAGCGATCAAAACCCTGGTAACGAGGAATCGTGAGCGCCCCTTAAGCTCAAATGGGGTCTTTCCGGGTGTTTGCACATCTAAATAAATCTAACGATTTCCCCACTACTCTGCAAACACTGACGCTTCCCGCCCGCACCCTCACTCCTCTCCCTCCCAAGCGTCCAGGCAACCCTTTCTGCTTCTTCAGCCTGTTGCGGTTTTCCTCCCCAGAGTAGCTCCTGCTCATCTCCGGTCATCCTGCACCGTTCTGGACGATTGCGCCCCTGTAACCTATACACACCCTTCTTGTTGTCACCTCTTTGCATCTCCATTCCAGCCAAGCAACCCTTCTCTGTTTCTGGCACTGGCGAAACCATTTCTTCATCCCGGTTTACACTTACCCAAGCAGAAGTGGCGGGAGTGGTTACCTTGAGGAGGCCTGGGCGGGGGTGGGGGTGGGGAGTGGTGTGAAAAGCTCCTGAGGGTGGAGCCGACCAGTGGACGCCTAGGGTCTAAGATGAAAAACAGTGCTTCGCAGGGTGCTAGTGACCCCGCGCCCCGGCTCACCGGAAGCTGACCGAGGCGGTGATGTGTCTGAAATCAGTGTTCCCCGGCACCCCCATGGGTGCGATGTCTGTGCTTGGAGCCAACGAATGTCTTTATTCTAAAATTACATAGGCTTCCCAAAGCGGCTGGAAGACTGCCGAGAGAAGCCTTCTGACCCGGAGCATCTGAGAATCCCCGGAGCTGGGCTCCGGGTTAAGTACGGGTTCCGAACCCGCGATGCCAACCGTGGCTATTTGTTGCCTCGGGTTGCGGCCTCATTAGAATGCGCCTACGAGGGAAAAATAAGACTTCCCTGTAGGTTAATAAATAGCCCATCCTGTTGCAGGTTAACAAGGGCCTCCCTCGCCCTCCTCTGCTCCTCCCCTCCACCTTTAAAGGAACCTTTTGCTTTCACGGAGCATTGCCTTCCCGTCAGTTCCCGGTCGAAATCTCCGTCGCATGATTATGTCTAGGTTAATGTTTTATAAGGGGCTGGCTATTCTCATGTACCTGCCAGGCTTACCTGACCTAATACAGGGGCTAAACTCGCCCTTCAGCATGTCGAGGACACCTCCCGAAGCTTCAGCCATGGGCCTGACTCCCGAAAACCCTGGACCAGAGACCCCTCTCTTTGGACCCCCTCACCTCTTGCTTGCGGTGACGCCCTCCCGCACCCAGTTTCAGTTGGCGAGGGGGGTAAGCTGAGATTTCGTTTCTGCACTTGACCTACCGCAGAAAATTCTCAAATCCTTTGATTGTTGTTTAAAATGAGGAGGAAACCAGCTCCCTTTGCAGCAGGATTACAGTGGGAACAAGATCTAAAGATTCTCTTGTAATTCGGTGAGGCCAAGGGAACAAGGTTTTGCAGAAGAGAAAAGGAGCTCTGTGAGGGAGGCGATAACTAAATCGGGTTTTAGACAAAAGGATTTTCCCTAGCTAAAGTGGTTGAAGACAAAGGAAAACATAATCTATTTTGGAAGATTTCCAAGATATGCCACATTAACCTTACCAGATAAATGTTGCGTCTTCCCACCCCTCCTTCCCTTAAAGTCTGGTTTATCATATTTACATAAGTAGTATTAGAAGGGATGTATCTATTATGGATCTAAAGGGCTAGCTCACATTTCATGTGAAAACCCGGGAGAAGTTTCACTGTTGCTTTACCCTCAGTGTGGTTGAGCCATTTCCATTTAAATACCCCCTGACCCAAGGATTACCTCAATGGACTGACTGCATGGGTTTTGTAATTTCCTGAAAATGAGATTTCGATTTATAAAACAAGAAACCAATTAGTAACCAAATGAGGCGAAGTAGATCCACTAAAATTGACCTAATCCCACAGGCACAATTTAGGCCCGTTCTTGGCGAATGAATGATGAGCCCCAGTCTAGTGTGAGCTCAAAGCATCATCCAGCTGTGTTATTGCAAGCAGCAAAAATAAATTGATCGAGCTTTTCCTTCAGAATGAATTTCATACCCTTGACAAAATATAGATTGCAGACCCAGCATCAAAGCCTCCCTCAGACAGGGAGAGGAAGAAAAGGGCTTGTTTTGTTGTTCTATTATTATGATAATTATTATTTAATAAATAAACAGTATTTCCAGAGAAGTGTGTTCTAGTAGTCGGTCCAGGGAGCTTTCATCTTTCCAATGGGTCCTATGTGCCTTTTAGGGAATGTGGGGCTGGGAGTTGGGGAGAGGCTGAGACAGCTCTTCCAGAACCTGAACAGAATTTGGTGACTGTGATAGGAAAAGCCCTCTTTGACTGTGCCCTAAACTAGGGTCCGTGAGGGCCCCGTCACACGTGAGTTTTCTGCTGAGCTTGCAGCTTCGGGCTGCGTGCATAGTCCAAAGCCCTTTCCCAGTCTAGCAACCAAGTGACCTTCCTTTCAGGACTCAGGAAGTCTCCACGGTTGGTTTCTCAGGGGAACAGAGATACCGGGATTGAGCGACCTTGCCGAGAAAGATCGGACATTGAGTAGGAGGTTGCTTCAGTCACCCAAATACTCGCCTCCAGGGTTTGGGTCCTGCCCTTGCTCCAAACCCACTTCCTACACTAGTCGGGTGTGGTCGACCTCCCAAAGGCATCGGTGGTCGCAGGGGGGCCAGATTTGATCCCATACAGCTGTTTGGTCTCTACACTGTGTGTCTGTTGTCCACAGCGGCAATGTGTGCCTTGCCCTCCCCTAACAGCCACAGTGACCCTCCCCCCCCCCCCCCCCCCCCCGCCACGACCGGAGAATCACTAATGTTAGTGCAAATCTAGGGTGGAGACTGAGAGTCGCAGCGCTGAGTCTATGCCCTGTGCTCTGCCTTTCAAGCTAGGGCTTTCCGGTCGGGACCCAGCCTACTGGTCAAGCCGCCTGGTAAGCACCTAGGCCCGCCACCGGAGAAGTGTAGGGCGTAACTGAAGAGGTGCATTCAGGTTTCAGATAAAAAGTGGGACAAAAGTAAAGGCTGGGTTCATACAAATGCCACTCATGGCAACCAGAGCTCGTAAGCAGTGTCGACCCAAGACTCCTGACCTTATGCTGTGGTCCCGGCGGTGCTGTTGCCACCGGAAAGGCGGGAGAGGGCCCCGCCGAGGGGGCTGCCCCAATCGGCAGGCTGATTCAGGTTCAGTTCTCCTTGGACATGGGACCCAGCGACCGCACCGTGCTAGCCCTTCTGCGAACCACCCGCTCAGGTGGGGTCTTGGATTAAGGTTTAGAAAACATCACCTTCTTGTAGGCAGTGAAGGGCAGTACCAGGGGCAGCGGGCCCACACTGACACTCCTCTGTTCACGCGGGGGAACCCTGGGCCGGGTAAAGACTCGGTTGGGCAGAAAGTGAGGAGACACCATGCGGAGGCCGCCAGCTGGTGCACTCTTGCTCGGCTGCGGCACCCAGAGCGTTGCGTGAGGGGTCCAGGGCGGCCGCAGTGGGAACTGAACCTGAGGGGCACAGTGGACCTGGCCGATTTCTTGTTGATACACATCTCTGCAGAGTGCTTCCTCGGTTCTGTAGGAGCTTCGACAGGGTTTCTTGTCCCGGTTCTAATCAGAGTCACAGAGGTCGAGCGACTCCGCACACGAACCGCCCGTGGGATGCGGGTATCAGCGGAAAGTTTCTCCGCAATTCAATTCGCAGACGCCGTATTTTACATTATGGGATGAGTAGGCCCTTTGCGAAATAACTGCTCCCCCCCCCCCGCCCTCTCTACCATTTATCAGAAACTGGCTATGGTTAAAACCATCAGGTGTTAGCTGGGTCTCAATCTCATTTTCTTGAGAAATGCCCACTTAACAGATCTAGAAATTCAGCTAGAATCTCGAAACTGCCGAGATTTTATTGGAAAACAATTCCTCTAGAAACCAGGTTTCCTCTGAAAATTTACCCCCATTTTGGCTTAAAGTGGTGATTGTTCCCTGCTTTACAAGCATAGCTCGTGATGCCCTGCTCTGTGTTGTTCTTGTTGTTGTTTCTACTCGTGATCCCTCCTTTTAAAGAAAAAAGTAAACTTTTCATTGATCTGATCTACAATTTCTAGCACATAAATCTGCCCTGCAAATGCTCTGCATGGACTTTAGTTCTGCACTTTACATTTTAAATCAACATCAAAACTGGAATTAAACAGAGAGAAACAGCGTGGAGCATAAACTGCTCTTAAAGGCTTTTAAATGAGAAAAACTTCTGTAAGAAAATAAACATGGAAACCTAATGCTCAATCATTTCCCCCAGCAGCAAGAAAAACAGCCTTAAATCACCCATCCACGTGGGAAATAGGGGCCAGTTTTTTCTTTCAGTTCTCAGCGTAAAAAAAAAAAAAGTGATTAAGGATTTCAATCTTGAACTGAGTATTATAGAGAGGGTCTGTGGAGGTTTGTTTAATCATCCTTGCCCTTCCAGCCTTTGTACACTCTTTCCTGTAAAACTGCTAATTTCAACTCTGTGATTATTTTTATTTCCCCAAGATATCTTGACAATGGTAGTGTGATGTTACCAAGATTCTGAATATATAGATTTGAAAACATGTCTGATAATTTCAGAGGTTATTACTGCAAGCCAGTAGATTCCCTACCAAAACTGTACTATATCTGGCTAACAAATAATATTATTTCTTAGTATTTTGGTCTATTTTGCCTACATATAATGTCTTTTTTTTTTTTTTTGGTACTGCCTTTCTGGCTTTGATAAAGGCAAAGATATATATTTACATGCCTCCATTTTTCCTTTGCAAGGCTATTTTAGAATAGAAATGTTACCAAATGAAAGATAGGTAGTTATAATGATCCCATAGTAATCTTCCCTGAGTTATTCTTTATTATTAAACATCTAATCTAAAGCTTTATTCTTAATTATCCCAAACACCCATAGTCTATTCCTGTTTGTGTTCTTTCTCACTGCAACAGCTCAATTTTACCTGCTAAGATAAATACACACTGCAGTTTTCCTGTGGAGAACATTGTATGGGACAGTTGGGGAGGGATAGGTATGAGTTATAGTTTAAGTAATTTAAAAATTAATATAAATATTGGAATCTTTTTGCTGATATAACCTTTTGGGCATTATAGTGAAATGTCTAATGGCCAAAGATCAGTGGGGTTTCAAAGTCATTGTTAAAGTCATTGTTTGAAGTCATTGTTATGAAGTCAAAATCATGTTGCATATAACAGATTGCTTTACCATGAACTAGTTCTCTATCCCATCCTAAAAACACAATTTTATTGAAGATCTACTAACCACTAGGATGGCTTCAAGATACATATATTTAAATGAACTTCATCTTCAAACAAATTCTTTTCACTTCTCATCACTAAAAAAGATTCCCCCTTTTATAAAGTGTCTAGCTTTCCCACTGTCATAGACCCCAATCTTGTTCGCCTTCTCTAGATTTCCTTAAGAATTGAACCCAAATTTGGCACCCTCTGCAGGTTGTGCCCGGTTGTGACTTGTGATATCACTTCACTGAAAGCTTTCACTGAGAGCTGGTGGTTTTTTATTTTATTTTATTGTTTTGTTTTGCTTAATATTCTAAAGGGTTGTACTTGTATTTTTAAATCTAATCTGCCCTAAAAATTAAAACCTCATTCCTATGAACCAGATGCCCTGATGACCCTGTCTAGCTCGCCAGGTGGAGGCTCTGGGTGAATTATGAGTGCAACAGTAGCTAGAGAAATAAATGATGTGCCCAGAGTTCACACATCGTCCATCCCCTCTTCCCAATAAACTCACACTCACCGACTGAAGAAGGGAGGGGAAGGAGGGGCTCAGCCCCGATCTCTGGAGGAAGGGGGAGGGGGTGGGTGGGCTGTAGGAATCACCACCTCAGTTAAAGCTGGCAAAGGGGACCGCCTGGCCACCAAGGGGACTCCAGCCTAAGTCTTCACCAGTGCTGTTTTAAAACAAAAATTTGCCTGAGAGCGATTTTTGTTGTTACATTATCACGAAATTTATAATTTGGGCGTTAGCTCTTAAACAGAAAAGCTTGTTCGCTTGAAAACAAAAACGAAGCACAAAAACCAGCCGGATCCCTTCCAGGCCAAGCCTGCCCGGGGTCTGCCCTGATAGTCGTGGCCCTGGCCCAGCGACTCCCTGGGCGCTCCTGTCCCTCTCTGCGCCCTCCCCAGAACGCAGACCCGCTATTCTTTTCCTCCCGCGATTACTCAAAGCCCCACAAGCAGCACCATATGCTTCTTCTGATCAAACAGCGAGCGACATCGGCACCGATAATTGACGAGACCAGCTAGAAATCACGCAGAAAGGGAGCCCACTGAGACCGCCGGGGCTGACAAATCACTGCTAATAATCCTGTTAGGAACAGCGCGGCCAGCGGAGTTCGCAATAGCTTTATTTTTATAAAGTAGGCGCTGACAGTATAAAAGACAATGAGATCTCTTTTTTAAACAGAAGGCAGTATAGCATAATAGCGTTTCCCCCACCAGCAACTCTCACCACAGTCTGAATGGGGATAATAGTTTTAATATGTTTCCCCTCCTTTTTTTTTCGTTTTAACTTTTCAGGTACTTGAGGCTTTGATTCCTCTCTCCTGTGGTTTCCAGGGTAGATGAGATTGTTCAAGAAACTGTTTTAAGACACAATGACTATAATAGCACTAGTAGTGTTGGGGTAAATTTGAACTGTAATTTGAAAGTTTTCGTTTGTGCCCCAGACCAACTTGGAGAATATTTCCCAAGCTTTTGATTCAGAAACTAACTTTTAGTTAAGATAAAACAAAGTGAAACTCCAACCCTAGTAAGTACTATTCCCTGCCCCATATCTTTAAAGAAACAACAAACTACAAGCATTCAAAAATCAACAGCAATAAAAATCCCTATGGGTGAAATACAAAGTTCAGGTTTGTAAATAATGGGATTCTTTTTGGACTTTTTCTTTGTTTAATATTCTCTCCTATCCATATCCAAAATCTGCCACCACAGCAAAAACATATCTAATTTTTCAAAAATCTGTTCATATTATTGAATGTGGGTAGAGAAAAGGATAGAAAAATGGAACAGAAAAATTTACTCTTCCTAGTGAGTTTAAATAGTTTTATACAGGAAACAATGTTCCATGAAGGTTTCACTGTCTCCACACAGTGAATCTTGATCATCTGAACACAAGTTTTAAATCATGTCAACAGCTCAGCTATTCTAACTTGTAGGCCTTATATGATAATTTTCCCAGGATCTGTTTGCCAACCTGCCACCCAGAAGATATTTTCTAAGCCTGCTAGTCATCTAAATTCAATCTTATGTATTTGGGGACTAGCCTATTATCTCAGAGAGAATATCAAGCCCAGAATTGCAAATCACCAAGCCTTAGGGTTAGTTAAAGAATCTGTGAATGTCTCCTGAAATACTGAGAATAAATTTGCCATAAGCAGCTGAGAGACTTGGGCTAATTCAGGACATGCTTATTCCTGAATGTGCCTACTCTTCATTTGCAGAATTATAGACACATTGGGAAATTATTTCCTTGCTTTAGGTAGTGCCGTGTTCATAGGTCTCTATACATAGCAAAAATACAAGAATTTGGCAGTGCTCCTGCTTTCCAGTAGATACAATTCTAACAATAATAAAAAAGGAAAGTCATGTTTGGATTAGTAGTACTTTCAATTGGGCCCAGTATCTGAAGTGTTGACAAAAGCACTGTTGGGCTGCTTCCCAACCAAACATATCTTGATGGAGTGAAGAGAAAGTAATAATGGGGAAAGTCAAAAGAGTTACAAAAAGGCAACAGGAATTCTAAGTTCAGGGAGGTCCTTCATCAAGCAGCCACTGTAAATGCCCCTTTGCAGAAAGTATGTGGGTAATTATGAAGGCTAGATGTCCCTTTGCATAGAGTGTGTGGGTATGAACGCACTTTTCTGCCCTGAGGTGCAGGTTCACTCACTGGCAAATCCCATACCCCTTTTGCCTTTGAAATTCCATCTGGGCCAGGCCACTTACCTTCTGGGAATACTACTCTCATTTTGAGGTAGCTGGTCGTGAGTCTGATTATGGATGCTTTGTCCAGTTGTGAGGTGATAGCCGAAGGCAAAGGCAACAATTTAGCCAGTTCATAAAATTCACTGTTTTCCTTCTCCCTCCTAGTCCGGGCAGCATTTTTGGACTTCTCTTTCATTGTGTCTCGTTCCCCCTTTCCTCTTACAATATAAACTCCACAGATTCATCCAAAATAAAAAATAAGCTTTCAACTAGAGATCACATTTGGCAAAATATAAAGCATATTTTGACGAAGAGACGGAAGTCTTTACTTCTCTGTGTTGATGGTAATGAAAGACCAATAAGGCAAACAGAAAATATTTTCTTTAAAATGTGAGATGCTAATATAGGGAAGTTGCTGATCCACGGCGACTTGGGCAATCCTAGGAGTCTCTGGGTATTAAATGCTGGTGTCACCCTGAAGAAATCAGCCTTTTCTTCTATTCCTCGCTGCGAACCCGGGTCCTCGGAAAATCGACATAATGATCCCCGACGTTTGCTCTTCAGTGTGGGGGCTTTTGAGGCAGCTCCAAGCCTCTTTGGAAGAACAGGAATGCTGGATGCCTCTTTCAGGCCACTGTAAAGACAACAGCATCAGAGCTTAAAAGATCTGCAGGTCCACAATCGCTCACACATCACCCGAATTCCGAAAAAGCTCCCGAAAGGGCCTCAGCACGCCCCAGCTTTTCTCGACAGGCTCGATACTTTGGTTTGTTTGTAATATAGAAAATGGAGAAATCAGCAGCGAGACCGAGTCCCATACAAATAATGCTCCCATTCCCTCACCCTTGCCAGCCACATTCTGCAGCCCCCTGGGAAGTTGCCCAAACAACCAACCGCATATTTTTGAAGGCCCTTATTAGGAGACTCTCAGCCGCAGGTTCCAGTGCCCGCGTCAAGCCTGGCGCAAGTCCCGGGAAAGCAGGTTTGGGCAAACCAGAACTCCTCCACAGTACTCCCGGCGCCTTTCGGTCCCCCCATTTTGGCAGATCTGGAACTTGGCTACCACTCTAACTTGGGCCTCCAGTCTCAGGGATTCCTCAAAAAGTGGCACTTACACATCAAGTCCCTTGGGACTCCCGAGCGCTCTCCTGCTCAGCAGGGGCGGCAACACGCGGGGCAAGGCCGCGCCAGGTTAACAGGTGGCATATTCACGACAGCCCCCCACAGGCACGGGGCGGGGGTGGGGCGTGGGGCAGTGTCCCTGCCTCTCCCCCTCGGCAGCCCAGCTGCGGGTACTATTGGGTGGGCGCAGGTTGTCTTCCGCTTCACCTACCTTCGGTCCCCGCTGGCGGCCCAGGGTGCGGAGGAGCCCACCTCTTAATTGTACTCATGCCTACTGTCCAACTAAGCCACTCTGCCGGGCCCTCGGCTTCCCACCAGCAGAGAAGAGCCCAACGCGCTCTGGCTCCGTTTTCTTTTCTGGGTCATGAATTGGGGGAGGGGTGCGTGGGAGAAGGGGGATGCAGGCTTTGGGACGGGTGAGGTGGCTTTAGAATCCTCCTCCTTCTCCTCCCCAGTAGTAGCTACGAAGCCAGTATTATTCCTAATTGGAAGCCGAAAACGCCCCCCTGTAACTTCTTTATAGCTTACGGGGTTTAGCTTCAACTTCACTCCCGGGTTCCCTTTCTCCCGCCCTGCCTTAATGCCACTCACAAACCTCCTTGTCTCTGGTTGGCCCGGCGAGCCCGGGGCGCATCGCTCATTGGCTGACAGGGCTGAGCGACGCGAGCACGCCCCCCACCGCCTCCCGCGCGCCCCTGCTCGCTGCTCGTGGTTCCGTTCCCCGCGTGGCTGCAGCGCTCCTAACCAGCCCGGTGCACTGGTGTCCCAGCCACTCGGCAGCAACAACCGTTCCCGGCCTCCGGGGCCTCGCTGGCGAAGGGCAGGACCAGAGCTGCCCAACGACCCCGAGGTCCTGCGATCCCGAAGGCGGCCGGCTGCAGCCCCGAACCTCACAGGGCGGGCCAGCGGCTATGCCTCCCAGCAGGCGATGCCGGAGACTCGAGGCGGGGGGTAGGATTCGCCCCCAGAACCAGCGAGCGCTGCGCCTTTCCCGTGGGCGAGTCTCGGGTCCATGCAGGCCGGTGTTGGCCTTTGTATTCTCTTTCACGTTGTTGTGAAACCACAGCGCACCGAATTATCGCCCGAGGAGATAAGCAATCCCAAAAAGGAGAGTCTTTTTCGAAATGTGTGGAGTTGGGGGCTAATGTGTGAACAGCACAGTTTTGTGGGGTGTTTTCCAGTGGGGAACAGAGGGGGGACCTAAGGAGAAAGAGGTTATATTTCAGGCCAAAATTGAGTTCTTTAGGATGGTTGGTCGTACATAGATATCTCACAACCATCTGTTATCATAAAGGTGAGCAATGAGTTTTTGTGTCAGGACACACAATTTCGACGTAAATAGTCCTTAGAAAAAGTCCGCATGAATGAATGTATTACATTCACAATTTCCTCACAATTTATTCGTTTAAATAAAACTTTGTGTTTTTGCTGAAAAATGATGTGGCAGAGACCCTCTAATATGAACCGCCTTCTTTCTTATCTGAGACAAGACTACAGCCAGCGAGGAAAAGTTGGCTTACCCTCTCCTCCCCAAGACAATTATTGCTAATCACTCCCTTGTTTTGGTGCTGCTGGTGACAACGATTCTACTCCTGGAGATGCGCTTGGAGGTAGTTGTTTCATCGGCCATAAAAGACAGTGAGAGCACCACTAATGTTGCTCTTCTCTCCATAAAAGACAATGAGAACACCAGCTAATGTTACATGGCTCCTCTTGTTTGTGGCACTAATTGCCGCTGAGAAAACATATACTCTGAAGAGGGGTGTGTGCCATGCTGCTGGTATTTGGAACAACTTTAAGAGTGTTTGTTCAAAAATACAGGCATCTGCCACTTCCTTGCCGCCCGATGGCAGTAAGCTTGCTGCAGAAGGACAAGCAGCTTTCTGGGGCTATTTATACATCTGGGAAACACCCGGCAGGAGAAGGTGAAAGTTCTAGATAGAAAGAATAAGAAAAAAGAATGAAACATGGCGATGTTGTAGGTGTATCAAAACTGGGATTCAGCTAGTGGTCTGTAATGTAGAGAAAGGTAATTTCCCCAGAGGCCACAGTCACTTAAAGACTTGGCTGGACAGGATCCCAAATCACAAGTAATACAGTTTAACAGACAAATGGTAGAAAGACAGAGGAAGATGTTGTGGCTCCCATGTACACAAGATTCCAGAAAAACAAAACAGATGTCAAGTTAACTTCTACATGTACAGAGATGGATGAAAGAATATCTATCCTTTTCTTTTTCCCCTCTCTCCACTTCCAATCAGGGGTAAAATAAAGCCGTTCTGCTGAAGCCATGACCCTTTAGGGTTAGGAAGCAATTTTTCTGTTACGGAAAGGAGTTTAGTTCCTGCGGTTTCTATAAATCCTGTCTCTACTTCAAACATGCAGGTGTGTTGGTGCTTTTCTGGGGTCTGAAACCCATTGCCCACAGCAGGGGTTTGGGGGAGTCTGGTAGAACCAGGTTCCCCTATACAGGGCGCACTTCTTGCAGAAGAAACGCAGTGTTGTTGTTGTTGTTGTTTTTCCCAAGCAAGACAGAAAAAAATGTGCGTGGAAGTCTTCATAGCAAAGATGTTGTCCTAGGGGTCCGACCGAGCTGCTCTAGCTTCCTACTGTAGCTCAGTTATCGGTGAACAGAATGAATGTTTAATAAACAAAGTGAATGCATGGCCACGTGGTGACGGCTCGCTAAATCCTCCGCACACAACTGTCTGAGCCGCGTTTACTGAGAGAATGAATTAGCATGGCGACGTAACACCTGTTTTTCTAATCTTTGAACCTAGGCTGGAGTTGGAATGCATCTCTTCACTCCCCCGCCCCGGCGCAGAGACCCGGCCTTGCACCCTCCGGCGACCCCACCCGCCGGCCCCACACTCACGCCCTGCCAGCCTGTGCGTGAACTGACACCTTAGGTGCCTCCCTTGTGTTCCGAAAATTTGTGTTCGCCGCTAGCACGACCAATTTAAAATACATTTCTTGAGGCTAAGAGGCTCATTTTATCCAATTCTTTTCCAACGTGAGGGGGAAAGTTCTATAAAGGAAAAAAAGACAGGTACACAGGTACCACCACCAACAAACACGAATGCTATGTGGGTCTTGGCCGCCTCCTGCTTCCGCAGGTGTCTTAAAATGTAGTCCTCTGAACTCGGTTCTGTCTGCTGGGCCCCAGATTTCGAAGCTAATGATGGAAGAAAGCAAAGCCGATCTATAAACAAACATCTTCCTCTACCCATCCAGGAATAAAAACAGCCCTGCGTGACCACTACACTGGGCTTTCGGGAGCTTCTCTCACCGGGGCTAGGGGTGGGAGGGGCGATGCTGCCCTCAGGGAACCCACATTCAACCCGTCTGAAAGCTAAGCGACGCAATGGCCCAAGCGCCAAGTCCCCTGCGGAAAGGCGCGTCCGCCGTCGCGAATTGCAGACCCGACGCGCCTGTGCGTGCGGAGTCCCGCGCGCTGCGCGCTCCCTGAACGTAGAGGAGGGGGCCTTCGAAGGACTGCCGGGTCCCATCCAACATCATTCAAAGTCTGCACTAGAGAGCAGAACCCGTGGGCTGTAAAAGAACGAGTGCAGAATTGCGGCACAAATCGCTGCACCGACTTCTGCGCGGCTGCCCGACCCCGGCGCGTTGTGGGTCGGACCCCTGGTTGGTTACAGATCTCTATATTGCCTTTGACAACTCTTCTCTGCACCCTGCTGCTTGAGTATCCTATCAAAACTAGACAGGGTTGTCCTTCCCCCTTTCTCGCCCCCTAAATACATCTTTTTTGTTTGTTTGTTTGGTTTTGTTTTTACAGACTGCTAGGTACGTGCAACGCAAAATTTTACACGTTTGTACATCACATACACGTAATTGTACGAAGCATTCAGGAACATATTCCACTTAATGGCCAAGGTCAAGATGAAGATTGTATTTATAATTAAGATGCAAAAAATTGAAGACGGTCACTTAAGCGTCTCTGTGTTATAACCAGATGTTCACTCCCCGCTACTGCAAATTCATCTAGGGAAATTCTAATTTTTTTTCCTTCCATGTATGGAAGTGTCTCCTGCTCTAGTCCCACTTTATTACTCC